AAAAAGGTTGTTAATATGAGCGCGATTGCCATTTTAGGTTTTAAAGTCTACATTTTATATTGGGTCAGTTAAATATTTAATTATTAATTAATATCGACTGACTATCAAAACAGTACTGTGGTTCAAGTTTGTGTCGCGGTCGCACTCTGAGCAGAGCTTGGACAATAATGATGTGAGATAAACAAGTGTTAATATTTTAGTAACATAATACACACAGTCTAGTCTAGTCACAGATTTACTACAACATATTCGACGACGAAAGAAAATGTTCGAGGACATGTGAATTCCGCCCACACGTACCTCTTTTTGCACATGGGGAAACGCCTACGCATACCCGCCTTGCGGGACGGAACGAGAACGGGTGATGTCGGACTCGCACCGACTAAAACCCCATGGTGTTCCACCTTCGCCGCATATTGGTAGGGCCACTGGAACGCTTTCGCATACATCCGCGACCTCACCAGCGCCGACTGCCCCATGGCAGCCTCACCTCGGGGGAGTACCTCCTCCCCATTCTCCTCCTGAGGCAAGGCGGAACCCACCAGGAACACAAGGCGAGTGGCGCATCGCCATACCAACACTTCTCTTCCTCCGAGACTCCTCCGAGGAGGAGACGACTCCAAGCTCGTGGGCTCGCCAAGCCTACTTGGAGTGGCCACCTCGGGTCGGCCCTACATCACGGGTCAGCGAAGGGGTTCCTCTTTGTTCATCGCGGCCCCCCGCCACAACAAGGCGGGAACCCGTTCGGGAGGCCCCACACGTACCTACTGGAGCATCACGGAGGATTAATTGCTCTCAAAAACTCAAGGCGACCAGTTTGTGCTCAGCAGTTAAATTAATTTACGCTGAGAGTTCATTTTTAGGGTTCCGTACCTCAAAAGGAAAAAACGGAACTCTTATAGGATCATGATTTCTTATATTTACGCGAACACTACACATTGAATAAGACTATTTTTACGGATTTTATCGCGTTTAATTAACTTATTTTATATTCCCGACTTTTCGGTTGCTTTCCAGCAACCGTGGTCAACAGTCCCCCGTGACCACGGTTGCTGGAAAGCAACCGAAACGTCGGGAATATAAGTTAATTAAGCGCGATAAAATCCGTAAAAATAGTTTTATTCAATCTTATAGGATCTCTTTGTTGTCCGTCTGTCTGTCTCTCAAGACCGTTTTTCTCAGGAACGCGTCGAGGTATCAAGCTGAAATTCATGTCAAATACTCAAGACTACTGTCCCTTGGAGCTGTGAAAAAATCAAACCTTTAAGCCAACGCAATCAAAAGATACAGCCGTTTATGCCGCAAATTCTCGACATTCGCAAGGGAATCAAAACCTACAGGGTACTCCCGTGAACTCAGAATCTTGAAATTTGGTACGAAGCAACGTTTTATAGCAGAGATAAAGGAAAAATTGCGAAAAGCATAAATTTTTAGTTACATCATATAATAAAAATATTTTTAATAATTTTAAACTTATATACCTACAGATTTGTACGGAACCCTCTGTGCGCGAGTCCGACGCGCACTTGGCCGGTTTTTTTTCTATTAGTTGAGTAGGTTTTCTTCTAAACACGCTAGAACTTTCATTAAAAACTTACCACGTATTTTATATTGAAATGTTGGTCAACGGCCGGTCTATTCCCTATAAATAATTTAATGTCTTTGGGGCCAAAGTTTTAGAACGAGGCCACCGTTAAAACGATCGCCAGTCCGCATGCCAATTGCATACGTAAATAATACATCAAATCCTTCCAAGATAAGTCCAGCCGTGGACTCTTGTTGCTACACGATAGATGCTATTTGTGAATTTAACAAACTTTCAATAAACTTTTGAGTATTAAGGAAATATAAAAATATTTGTTTTTTAATGTTTCCTGATTTTTTTGTAGCATAAGAGTTACAAACGAGCAAACAGTCCACAATAAAGAATACTCAATCCTCGATAAAGAATCAAAATGCAGGTGCGTTGTCACCCCTGAGGACTAAGATGGAATGCCTCGTTTCCAGTAAAAAGGGCCTACGGTTCTCTACATTGGCCATATGAAACACAGCAGCATTATGCTGCTATTTTACGCTGGTAGTCTGTGAGAGTGTTGTTTTGTGATGTACTCCTACTACAGGCCATCATAAGTCCACTGCTACACATAGGTCTCTCCTATAGATTGCCGCCAAGGACGGTCCTGAGCCACCAGCATACATCGACTGTTTGCGTATTTTATCATGTCGCCACTGCATCCAGTCGGGACCCGCCCAACCTTACACTTGCCAGTACGAAGTTGAAACTCGAGAACTTTTCTTTCTATCGGTTGTCGGTTCTTTGAGCTATATGGCCGGCCCATTGCCACTTCAGCTTACTGATCCGCTGAGCTATATCAGGTACCCTTCTACTTCTGAAGATATCCTCGTTACAGACTTTATCCCGCAGAAACTTTGTTCCTGACTTTCTCCCTCGTGGTGGTGTACATAAAAGTATTTTCATTATATATATACTAGCTGTTCCCCGCGACTTCGCCCGCTTGTAATTTAGGGTTTTCATTATTTTGCGCAGAACCCTCATTATTTTTCTAGAATAAAAGTAGCCTAAGTTACTCCTTATAATATCAGGTATCTGTCGGTTAAAGTTCCGTCAAAATCGGCCCAGCCATTTCGGAGATTAGCCGGAACAAACAGACAGACAGACAAAAATTTTAAGTTTTTGTTTGTTATAAGTATCGTGTATACTTTCATTTGCATTTAGTAAAAAACTGTTATTTTGACATTACAAACAGACACTTGAATTTTATTTATTTGTATGTGTATATATATATATTTGATATTTTTACATATTATATATATCTATCTCATATAAATATTTTGGGCTTTAAGTGATCATTCATTCTTTGTTGAAATCGTTATACGCTCTGTTTCCTGTGCTTGCGTCACGTTGTTCCATTTTCCTCTCGATTAAGCTTGCTCGTTGATAATTATGAAAATTAAACGGATTATCGCCATATTTTAAACGACTATAGTATAATTATTAGAAAAGAGTGACAAAATGTTTTTTTTTATAGGATAAGGGTGACAAACGAGCACACAGTCCACCTGATGGTAAGTGGTTGCTGCGGCCCATAGGCATCTACATCTATTCTCTATTACAAATCAAAATGCAAATGCGTTGTCACCCGTGGAGGACTAAGATGGAATGCCTCATTTCCAGTAAAAAGGGTCTCCAGTTCTCTTCACTCACCATACGAAACACAGCATCGTTAAGCTGCTATTTTACGCTGGTATTCTGTGAGAGCGTGATCCTTCTTCGGTCGAGTCGACCCATTCGTGCTATAACTATACTACTAATATAGCTGCAGTATGGCTCTACCACGTAAAAAACAACTGTGCTTGCACAATGGAACAATGGTAATCAAAAAAAAATACGCTTCTGACATGAAATGCTTTTTTTAGCTTTTTGCTAGCTGACCAGGCAGACGTTGTTCTGTTCTTTCGGACGACCCTTCCTATGAAAAAAATCCTTAAATTCGCAATAAAAAATATTGAAGGTCACTTATCGGGATAAAAACTATCCTATCTGTCAAGTTGAACCAAACTGCACATAGTATGCAAAATTTCATTGAAATCAGTTCAGTAGTTTAGGAGTTCATCGCGGTTCATCGCGGATTCATCGCAATGTGAGTCTTAATTTTTATATATAAAGATATACATACATATTATGTTTGTAATTACTCCAAGATAATTATTTAAAAAGGAGAAGGAGACGTCCCCATACATTCTTGGGCTCAAGTGTTAACAAGATGAGAGTAGGACCATTTGAAAGCGTATATATAAACAATTCATAGCTGAAAATTTGGCAAGATTTGGCAATCTAGGAGCTCAGTTATTGTAGAATAAGTAAAAGTCTAATCTACACTGTAACAGGAGATTTTTCACTATTATTACACTGTAACAGGCTATTTTTCACTATAATTACTTAAAGATATAAAAGCAGGATTATTATAAAATCACCAAAAAAGCTGTGGTTAATACTGAAGCGAAATTGTGAAACTATTAACGAAAGTTACAACCACAACAACTAAGTGATGTGAATATTAAGGATATCGATCTGAGATCGATTACTTGAACTGTTACTTGTTGTAAATTTGATATTTTGTAGTTTTTATTATTATTTTGTCTTTATCTCCCTAGTTAACACAGAGAAATAATCAAAAATAGATATTAAAATGCTCAATTTAATCGAGAATCGATTATATAGCGCTCGTTTCAAATCGATTCGAAAATCTGTCTTTTTCTTTTAAGTAAATAGTTTGAAGTTTGAACTGTCAAGTCAAGTTTCAAAATGAGAAGTCCTCTATTGGAAGATAACGTTCAGAAACGAGAATTTCACTAGTGTATTCTTTATGGTAATCGATTTATTGCGATAAAGAATACACTGCAATCGAATTTCTAACTTATTTCTTATTTTATTGTTTTTTCGAAATCTAGATTGTAAAAAGAGCTACTTTTTTGTATTTCACTTAAGAAAAATATGGCCAATTTTTTAAAGTATAAACCAATTAGTTAACTTCAGGCCCAAAAATCCCATTCTCCTGTAAATCATAGTAAAATAATATTACTTACATACGTAATAATACGTAATATTTAAATAGATATACATGTATGTAAATATATTCTATTACCGGCAATATATTAAGGAAAAGTGTATTACGTTAATAACCTTGGCCTTCACAGTCAAGGTTGATTATTTGTTGGATTTTTCTTTTCAATTTAACAAGTCCCAGTTTTTGTAATTACCCTATATACTTACCCAGACTTTCACAGGGAATCTTTAAATGTGCAACACAACTGATACTGAAATCGCCAATACGCCTGCCAAGTGTGGTGTTATTAGAGAATTCTTTCTATAATGAGAGAGTGTCATATTCAGTAGTGCATTATTACGGACTGGAAATAAGAAAAACAAAACACACTTGCTAGTTGTAAAAAAGGAAAACTAACTGCTCTTGTTCTAGGTGAGCGACGTTGGAGGCTGTGGGTACCATTTAGCAACGCTGCTGGGTCTCCTACCGGCGCAGGTTATTAACGTGTACCTGGGCTCCACGTTACGCTCGATACAAGACGTGCTGCACGAGTCCCACCTAACGGGTTATGTGGTGTTCGGCTTTCAGGTAATATTTTTTACTATCTGAAACTTATGTTGCCCTGGTACTTTAGAGAGCAATTAGTCCATGTTGCATTTTGATACTTATTTGAAGGTAGATGTAGATGTCTATGGGCCACAGGATCTACTTACCATCTAGTGGATCGTGTGCTCCTTTGTCACCCATATTCTTTATAAAAATGTATTATAGAAATTAATAGAATATATTAGGAATAGAATAGAACTTTACTATGTGGTTGTTCTCCTATTCTAATTAGAAGTCAAAAGATTCAAAGATTCAAAACTTTTATTTGTATAAAACATGGTAAATACAGGTGTTGATAACATAGTTACATACATATTAGGCCGAACATGTTTCACTGCTTAAATAGATGCATACAAATATCAAATTTAATTCAATGGCTAATTCAGTTGCGTACATTGAGTTATATGTACTACGTACTAGAGAAGCCATTCCGAACAAAAATTGTATCCTATTCTATGTCTTCGCGCATGCGCGGGAGTAGTAGTCGCGTATGCGCGAAGACTTTAATTTGATATAAAATAAGATATTAATATAAAATAAATATAAGAATTTAATATAAAATATCTTAATCTAAACAAACATATTTCTAAATAAAATGTAATAATAATTATTTTATGGAATTCACATATCTTAAATTTTCGCAATATTTAGTTTGTATGGATTGCACTACAGTTCAGTTGAACATAGTCAATGTTCGGAATGGCTTCTCTAGTACGTAGTACATATAACTCACTGTTAAGCTACTATTTTACTTGTCACTTTAAATTTAAAAAAAAAAACCATGTAATATAACCTCAAATTTGCGGTTAACCCAAGTGTCTGTACGTTATGAGGTTACTTAATCCATGTTTGTTTCTGGTTTATAGTGGTCTGGTTTGAGTCATACATCATAATTTAATTAGATTCATATTACCTACGTATAATTGAATTATAACAGAGTAAATTAAATGACGCGGTTGACACAGATGAGCTCGCCCTAAATGTAATAGTATTAGTTTTACCCACTTATTTTACCATTACAGCCTATTAAATGCCACTGCTGAACATAGGCCTACCCCATAGATTGCCTCATAGTGATATTTGCCACAGTTGCCACGCTTAGCTAGAGGGTTGGCAACCGTAGTTTATTCTTAGTTGTTATTAGAAAGACGCTGCTGCCCATCTCCTGATTTGTTTCCCTCTGTCGCCTCTTATGACACCCACGGAATGATATGGGGTAGTGGATATTTTTTTATAGGATAGGGTGACAAACGAGCGCACAGTCCACCTGAAGGTAAGTGGTTGCTATGGCCCATAGACATCTACATCTATCCTCAATAAAGACTCAAAATTCAGATGGGTTGTCACCCGTGAGGACTAAGATGGAATGCCTCTTTTTCCAGTAAAAAGGGTCTCCGGTTCTCTACACTCACCATACGAAATACAGCAGTGTTAAGCTGCTATTTTACGCTGGTATTCTGTGAGAGCGTGGTCCTTCCCCGGTCGAGCCGACCCATTCGTGCTACAACTATACTATACCACGTGCAAAATATTCTTACATCGCCACTACAGACACTTTTTTTGAGAATGAAAGCAGTTAACACTAATATTATGTGAAAGTTTGTGAAGATGTTTGTTATAAGGGAACCGCTTCAAGGGTAATCTTTTAATTAAGTGGAGATTAACAGGAAAGTTAATAAGCACATTGAAAATGGAAAGCACTTTTCGTTATTTAAATAAATTATCTTTTTTTGTACTTTGCTACCAATTGGGCGCTTAGTTGGCAAAGTGGAAGTTTAAAAACTCTTCTTCATCGACAGAAAATAATAAGTGTTTTACTAGAAAACATTTTTATTTAGCACGCTTAAAACACAATAGGAACGCTTAAAAGCGTTGTCACTTTAAAGCAGTTATTGTGACAAACGGGCACACATCCCTCGAGATAATAAACCTAGCAAGCTAACAGCATAGCAAAGTGGCGAAGCAATCAGCTTTGTAGCGGTTTCTAACGGTTGTCGTTGAGCAATCAGTTTCAAAATAGGAGGTTCAGATGCCTGGGTGATCAGTAATCGATTGCTGAAAACAGAATTTGAAAATTCGAAACCGTTCTCGAGATAATCGTGGGAAAGGCGTACAGACGCACAGACATCGTGAAATCAATAAGTGACTTCGCAAGCTTCGCCACTTAATAAGTGGATGCTGTGGCTCATAGACAACTATTCTCGATTAAGAATCAAAATGCCGATGCGTTGATACCTCTTAGGACTGAAATGGAATATCTCGTAACCAATATGAAACACACTGTTTTACGCTGGTAGTCTGTGAGAAATATACTGCGGGCAAAGCATAGTTGCAGCGTGGCTTTACCACATAAAAACTCCCACTTTTTGTAACGCAATCACGCATTTGGACGGAATTTGTCTCACAGTTCATGTCCTAGATGCGTGGCTTTCTACCACAAGAGAATAAAAGTTATGTCCATGAAAGCGTTACTGTTTTAATACGAACAGAGTCGCAACCAGAATTTAAGTAATAAATATATAAAAAAATAAAAGGGCTGCTGAATCCAAAAGATCTAAAAATAGTAACAATGTATGTTGTATCGAATTATTATACTGGATATCTCATCTTTTATAAACAGTGTTGCGGGGCCTACGAGTATTGTTCATTGGCTAAATTGAATTAGAACCCGTTTCGACCGCTTTAACTAGATTAACCTTCTCTTAGTATCAGTGTTGTTTCGAAAATTTCAGTCGTATTTTTGAAGTAATTGTATACATTTCAATCATTTCGAAGTAAAAATTATTTAGGCGCGACTTGAGGGTATAATATTTTTTTCGGAGTGAAGTAACGTTTAGTAAAAACATTGGCCTCGTTCATAGATAGCTTCAGATGGAAGGATATTTGCCGAGTTGCTTCGCGTAGCAGTAAGATTGGCAACCGTTTTTTTTTTTAATTAGTTGTTCAGTTGTTATCTAGAAAATGTTGGTGCCTTATCTTCTATTTCAGGTTCCCTCTGCCACGTCTTACGATACCAAGGCAATAATTGTATAAGGCAGTTGATTGTCTTACGCCGCTACTTTGATTGTTATGGACTGTTATTATCACTTTATTTTTTATTAATATGTGTACGAATTAGGCATAACAAAAAAAAACGAATAGTACACAATATCATTATGACGCAATTTTCGTAAATCGTAAATGCGACATGTCCGGAACTTTATAGATTTGAAATGTGGCACACATTTGGCATCATCATCAACTATCATTAACTTTCAATAAGTATTTTACTCTGTTGAGTTCTATAAGGTTAAGGCAGTGAATAATCAATACGGTGAAGTAAGGTTTCTTTTTTGTGAAATCGATAAACTGACTATATAAATGGTTTTGTTGATTATCTTAGCTATTTTAAGAAAAGGTTCGAGGAAAACTATTTTCCAATTTTACACAAATAAAGTCTTTTTCTTTTACATTTTACAACAAAACTATGATGGTTAAAAGATAAAGAGATTTGACCTTTTTACGTTAGTTAATAAATAGTCAAATTTTATTTTAACCATGTTCTCATATCGCTCATAGTTTTCGAGATAATATCTAAAGGCAGTTTATTATAAAGTAGTTTTTAGATAATGCAACTACCTGTCCAAAGACTTGCTTGTTTTTAATATTGTCTTAGAAAAACATACCACACTCACCAACAATTGAAATATAAAGCCGGCGCCAAATATAGCAACAACATTTGAACTGATTTGAACACTTATTTGAAGGACTTTGCACACTTGTGCACTGTCGACTTTGAACGCTTTGATCTGCGCTAAAAAAACCGCTATCGCTTGGCAAAGTGCATTTCATTGCGCACTTATTTGAACATTTATTCAAAGTCCCGTGCCACACATAGCTTCAAACAAGTGTTCAAATGTTTAAAGCTGTATCTGGCGCCGGCTTAAGAGCATGTTTGGCAACCCTAGATCTAATGGCCCATCATAAAACCACTTAGGATCAATTGCATAACACACCTGTCCGAGTGTGACAAGCGACGCTATCAAAAAGCACTTCCGGTAAGGCGCCTTGTTTCGAGAGGGACTTACTTATCAGGATTATATTTCGAGTATTAAATATATGTAGAATTATATTTGCTGCTATCTTTTTTTATTTCTTGTTGTGGATATTTTATTTTCTGCCTACTTCCAAAAAGGAGACGGTACTCAATTCAAGTGTATGTTTTTTTTTTATGTCTGTTACCTCATAACTTTGTACTGGGGGAACCGATTTCGATGATTCTTTTTTTATATGAAAGCTGATAGTTCTCGTGTGGTCTCATATGAATGAGGTCTCATTTGACATTTTTTCTCATTGATTAAGGTCAGACCAATGGTTATTGAGTTATTCTTAAATAACTTATATTGAAGTCGCTTATATTGAAGTCGGCTGTACAAAATTTTTAATTTTAAATTATAAACTATGTAGTGATGATGTAAGAATATCCACCACCCCATATCGTGCCGTGCGTGTCGTAAAAGACGGGAAGTTTCTGTTTCAGAGGGAAACTGAAACAGAAGATGGGCAGCAGCATTTTCCTGATTACAATACAAAATAATTAAAAACTGCGGTTGCCAACCCGTCTGCCAAGCTTGGCAAAATCCTCTCTATGAGGCAATCTATGGGTGTAATCTATATTCAGCTGTGGACTTGTTGACTTGGACGTTGTAATGCAAAATTTAATGACAATAATTTAATAAAAAGTTTTATTGTCATCATCAAAACTACTTTAATATTAAAATACGAAGAAACTTTTTCCCCGACCTATATAACTGCAGCGTAGAGTCACGCTGTAGTCACCACAATTGTTAGATGTAACTGTGAGATTCGCCTTAGGTCGATATAACTTGTTAGCGATAATAGACGGAGAAGCATTAAAGAGGCGTAGCGTGGGTTGCTGCTGTCTGAAGCCTCTAGACTCTAGAGTCTAGAGGCGAAAATGCTGCCCCTTACACCTCAAACCT